GTCATAATGAAAATGATCATAATTTAAAAGTACTAAATCATGCTAAAATTAGTTTAATAAGTATTAGTTACATGACTAAATATTAAAGGAAATTAAAATTAGATTATGTATTTTAATTGTCTAAACCAATGTAAAACTAAAGAACAAATATTCAATATTATTGTCATTCTTAGTGTTGAATTGATTTTCTTTTTGCATTAGTATTAATTTGATTTTGATTTAAGCTTCATTATAATTACCAACATCTGTAGACTATAATCTTTATTGGACCATTCAGAATTCTAAGTTTCAAATTTGAAATAATATATTAAAAGATAAAAACTATGAAAAAGTATAAGAAATATTTAAAAATTATATCAAAATAAATTTTTTTATGCATAAAATAAAATTTTAAAATTATATATATAATGTCTAGTTGGTTTATCAAATCAACCCAAATATAATCGGATTTTTTTTTTCAATACCAAACTAAGTCAAACCAAATCACTAGTCGATTTTTTTCCTGGTTTGACTCGATTTGCGATTTAGTTCGATTTTCGGTTAAGTTTTGTACATCCCTAGATAAAAGTAAACTAAAAGTAAACCGAGGGAGTACTATAAAGTACAAATATACCCAAATAGAAAGTTTTGGGTCAAAGATAAAGATCCAATAGAAACTCATGAGGATCTAGCAATTACTACTGGTTTGTTATAAGTCACTGTCGTTCAGTAAGGATTCAAATGATATCGGCAGACCAAAGAATCAATATGGGCGGTCAAATAGCCGCCTCAAAAATTAGACTTCACCTTCAAGAACCAATAATTCATATAATGTCGTTTTTGCTTATAGTAAATTGTCGATGAAGACATATAGACGCCTTCTCATTTATTGCTCACTATCTTCTCATTCAACATAACTAACCATTCAAAGTTTGAATGTCTTTCAAATTTCATTCATTCCTATTTGTGTCCACAAGTAGGGGCGGGGCGGAGGTAGCAGTTTGATAGAATTGAAATTTTGAATCCGCTTATTTTTGGAATATAATTTGCTACCTATTGAACACAATAATTTCATCCTCATGACTTGAAATTGAATTTCTTAGTAATTTCTTGTCATGTATATTTACATATATGTAATGTTAATGAAGCCTTTTTAATATTTCCAATTTGAAATACAAAAGTAAGGGAAATGGTGGAGAAAAGAGACAATAATGGATTAGCTAAGAATCACATTATTATCGATCATTAGAAGATGTTTATATATAATAAGACATTTCATTATCTGAATTCGTCCGATATTTCGAAAAGAATAAAACAACTTTAATAATATATATCCAATCTTTTAATCACAAAAAGAGAGAGATTAATAAAAATTAAAGTAGGCAATAATTGTTGGAGAGAGACATTAATTAACAATTAAAGAATATACACACCAAAAAGCTAATATTCCACAATGGAAAATACTTTAATTCAAAAGTATAGGCAACTACCAAAACACGACAAGAAGTTTCGACCAGATTCCTAATCTATCCATCCCTGCCAGTGCCAGCAACTAATTTCCATTAATATTATTAAACCCCTAATTATTCAATATAGCATTAGCTAAACTAACAACGACAATAATAATATACTCAGTGTACATAATTCCTCACAAATAGAATTTAGAGAAGATAGAGTGTACATAGATTTAACTTCTACTTTGTACTATTATATTGATAAATTTTCGATTCAAATAAATTATCTTTCAATTTGAAAATAGAAATAGAAATAACGAAATAAAATGCTATTAAAAACTATACATGATTAAGTCCACTTAAATTTATATCCACACATTTCATAAAAAAAAATCAAAGAAAAAATAGGTCCCCCCATATTCTCAAGTTTATAGTTGGTCGGTGTATTTGGTGGACCAAACTCTATTTGTCTCAGTACTCATGCCACCATAATCTCTACTCTTTTTTTTTTTGAAAAAATAATAATCATTATTTACCCCTTAGAGGACCCCTCCACCGTTCAATGTCCTAAAAGTCAGGTCACATGTTTTTTTTTTAATTATTTAATATTTTATATTTGAAAATTATTGATTCGATCAGTTTGAATTTGTATTAATAAAAATGAATAAATGAGTAATTTAAAGAGCATATTATAAGTTATGGTCATTAGATCTGGAATTCAAGACCTAGGGGAAAGACATTCCAACCAAAGATATTAATGATTATGAGATCAAGTGAAATTTACGTTGAGTTTCAAAACTATTACTTCCAAAATAGTAGTTCATTTAATTTGAACTTTCACCGTGTAGATCTAATAATAAGAAAGTAATTAAAGTGTTTTTTTAAACGAATTTTTAGTTATTTCATTTGAAATTCGAAATCTTTAATTTAAAGTGAAGAGACTTTAATAAAAATATAATACGTGTGATAACTGACTATAAATTTTTCGGTACGAAGCATAGATGCATATGCAAAAAGATTTCCTTTAAAATACTACATTAGTTTTGAATCTAAGTGTGTTAGGTAAGGAGGAAATTGAATGTTATTACAGTTTTCATGTTTGATTAGTTAAATATTTTTAAAGAAAAATAAGTTTTTTAGAAATGAGGAAAACGATTATCGTAGTGAAAGTAGCTAAGAAAAATAAGTTCTACCCCAATTGTGCATGTCATATCCACACCACCTTCATCTATTATAGTATTTATCTATATTATATACAAATATTACGTTGTTCATGAAAAAAACATTCTCCTTGTTACTAAACTCACCAACATTTTAAAAATACAGTAAATTCAATGCTGTTAAAATTGATGAATACACTAAATTTAAATTTTCTAATATGCCTCAAATCCAAAAATCATACCCATTGTTGATGTTTCACATCACATGGATGAGGACTAATTATGAGCTTTGAGACATTTCCAAAAAAGCATATGCCTGCCAGCTAGGATATTTAATATTATATCATTAAAAATAAACATGAATAGATATGCATTCCCTTGTACATTCTCATATTTAGGGATGGCAATGGGGCAGTGTAGGGTGGGGCGGTGCGGGTTGAGCTTAACCCGTAAAATTTTTAATTCACTTCGCATAATAACTCTTTTCATTTTCAACCCGCCTCATCTTGCCCCGCATAGATCCGCCTCGCATAATTTTTTTAATATTTTCTTTTTCTAGTTATGTTTGATACTAAAAATAAAATTCATAAAAACAAATTCATTTTCCATTAAGTTGTATTAATTTAATAGGATAGTGACTTAAAATTTTATTTTTAGAGGTCAATTGGGAAATATGCAAGAAATTATATTATTTTTTATTGAACCATTTTCATTTATTATCTTGAATATTTTTAGTAGCTTTAATGAAATTATCTTAATAAATAATGTTCTATCACTCTTATAACATGAAAAAAGTTAAAATTAAGTTTGAACCCACATAAAATCGCTTATACCCGCAACCCGCCCCGCCCACATTAATTTTTAAAAAACCCACTTCATCCCGCCCCGCATCCGGCCCGCGCCACACAACCTTAAACCCGCCCCGCCTCACATAGCCTTAAATCCGCCCTGCCCCGCATCCGCCCCGCCCCATTGCCATCCCTACTCATATTCCCCCTTAGCATGTTTTATGCTACAGTGAAAAATCTCATGAACTTCATTGGTTAAACTTTATATTAAAATATATTTGTACACTCCTACTACGTATACTTGCTATATATATGTGACAAAGAAATGCCTATTTGTGTCATCCAAAAGCAATTTTCTCTCTAAGTCTATTATTAGTAGTTAATTAAATTATTTTTTATAGTGAAAATGGCTGGCGGCGTAGCTATTGGAAGTTTTAGTGATTCATTCAGCGTTGTGTCTCTTAAGGCCTATCTTGCTGAATTCATCTCCACACTCATCTTTGTCTTCGCCGGAGTTGGTTCCGCCATTGCTTACAGTTAATAACTCCTCCTATCCTATCCGATCCGATTTTAATTGTTTCACTCATTAGAACAGTTTCAACTTTGGTTTTATTGCTTCTGACTCGAATTACGTCCATATATAGGCACATAACATGGTTAATGCTTATTCTGAATTCATATCAAATAGATCAATCTCATGATTTTAAGTTTATTAGTTCTAGATCATAATTAACTTCTTTTGTTTATTGTGTTTTTGATAGCTTATTTATAAGTGAGTTTTTGATACAAATACCGTGTTTAAAGTCAACTTTATTGAGTTCTACCAAACTCATAACTTTTTACTAGTATAGATCCGCTTCTGATCATGCATATTATTAATGCAACTATATGCACATGTAGATTTTATTTTTGTGCGTTTTCACTATTGATGTATGAGAGATTTTAAATTTAGTATTGTTTGGATATATACAGGCAAGTTGACAGCAAATGCTGCACTTGATCCGGCTGGGCTCGTAGCTATTGCAGTTTGCCATGGATTTGCTCTATTTGTGGCCGTTTCAGTTTCAGCTAACATCTCTGGTGGTCATGTTAACCCTGCTGTCACCTGCGGATTAACCTTCGGCGGCCATATTACCTTTATCACTGGCTCCTTCTACATGCTTGCTCAACTTACCGGCGCCGCTGTAGCTTGCTTCCTCCTCAAATTCGTCACCGGAGGATGTGTAAGTCCTTCAATTTTTACCTATTTATCGCGTAAACATGACCGATTTTATTTTTTTAGATTACTAATTTCACTTTTTACGACGATCTCAGGCTATTCCAACCCATGGAGTGGGAGCTGGTGTGGGGATAATTGAAGGACTTGTGATGGAAATAATTATCACATTTGGTTTAGTGTACACTGTATTCGCAACAGCCGCTGACCCGAAGAAGGGTTCATTGGGCACAATTGCACCAATTGCTATTGGTTTCATTGTTGGAGCTAATATTTTGGCTGCTGGTCCATTTTCCGGCGGATCAATGAACCCAGCTCGTTCATTTGGACCTGCAATGGCTACTGGTAACTTTGAGGGTTTCTGGATCTACTGGATTGGTCCATTAGTTGGTGGTAGTTTGGCTGGTCTTATTTACACCAATGTGTTCATGCAACAAGAGCATGCTCCTCTATCCAATGAGTTCTAAATTGAATTTGTTTGAGTTTGATTTGTGGGTCTAAAAAAAGCCCATTTGAATTTCGTTTTTTTTTTAAAAAGGGAAGAAAAAGCAATATTTTTTGTTGTTTCTTTCTTTGTTTTTTCCCAATTGTTGTTTTGTTTTTCTAGTTATTGGTTTGCAGCTGTGTATGCATTATCTTTTGGTGAGATGTTCTTGTCATGATGCTCTAATTTGATGAAATAGTTCACAATCATTCATTAGTGTCTGGCTTTTTATTATCTTTTTGTAATTTTAATATTGTCCGATCTGTGTGGATAGTTAAAACGTAGAAGTGTCTAATGGACAAATTTAATTAACATAAAACATACTAAATTTTAATGAATATCAAATAGTTTAAATTCGTGCGAGATAAAATAAACTAAATTAATAAATATATGGATCATTTTTAGATGGCTTTCCCAAAAAGGAGAAAAAGAAATCAACTTTTCGTAGCGATAAAAAGTGAAGAAAATGATTAAACTATAAGATAACTAACCTAAAGCAAGCATTTTTTTATTATTATAAAAATAGGAAAAGTTATTTTTATCATGCAAAGACAAAAGTGTAGATCAAATCAGTTTGTTACCAACCTTTCACGTATAGTAATGTTGACTTTTGGGAGAGTGATTGGTGGACTTGCCAGATACATATACTATCATTCTTACAATAATTCAAATTGTCGATGGCGGCTATATATAAGTGACAAATTGTACTACAGTTACTAAAGACAAATATATAGTCTGATTTTCTCATTGAGAATAGGAAACAAGACTTTTTTTTGGTTTCCTTTTTGGGCCGTGGTCCAATTAACATCAGCGTTTCTCTTCCTCCTCCTTGGGCCTGCAGGAGCTCAGGGGAGTCTTCATTAATAACTCCATTTAGTGGGCCGGACACTTCATTTTGAAGTTTTTGTATGGATAATCTTTATTGTATAAATTATAGGAATCACATATTATAAGTACTAAATAACATCCTATCCCTTCTAGTTTTCTATTTATCAAAAATCCCTTAAAAATGATGTTTGCGGGATACATAATGTTGTGCACGGGATACATTAGGTTTGATACATTCCACATAGCGGGATACATAGCGTTGTGCACATGATACATTAGGTTTGATACATTTCGCATAGCGGGATACATATCGTTGTGCACGGGATACATAGCGTTTGATACATTCCACATAGCGGAATACATAGCGTTGTGCACGGGATACATGTGGGATGCATAGGTAAATAAGGGATTTTTGAAATTTTTAAAGTAAATAAGGATAAATGGATATTAAGGTAAGTAGTTAAGTAAGTTGTCCATCTTTATTTTGAGGTGATGCTGAATTTTTTCCTTACATGATGGTGTTTTTGCTGCTTATATAATCAAAGTACCCTTATTGATTGGCCATTTTTTTCTTCTTCACTTGACATTCGATATCGTTTTTGAATTTAGACTAGTGATTATTCATATCCATAGTATGGATAGATGCAACATTGTCGAGTAGAAAGTTCACTTAAAGTTGGTATGAATAGTAAATTTAAATTCACAAATTTGAAAATAAGTTAAAGTTTAGGCAAGATTCACCTGTTTTCTAACCCAAATTTCATGTTTCAGCCCAACGCTTAATGTTGAGGCTGGTATTCATTTAAGGTATCAAAAAATAAGTGTATAAAACCTAAAGATATTTTTATTCAATTATTAATTTCTAGTAAATTACATTTGAAACAACGACTAAACTTCAAATCCCACCAATTTCATTTTTCAAAATGGGTGGTAGTGAACACCAACCCGACCCGACCCGGTAACATGCAATGGCAATTTGCAAGTGCAAATCTTTCAGACATGGGCGGGGTTTTATGTTTGGTGAACCTAAAACCCTGTGTATAGTACCAAATAAAATGCCCCAAATCTCAAGCCTTCGCCTCCTATTCTCCTCCGCCAATCACCACGCACTTCTCACTTCCCCTCTAATTCCAAAACCTCCGCTTTCTCTTTCTCATCTCTTCAAAATCAAACACCCATTTCTCCGTACTTACACTCACAAACCCCGCCGTCTTCTCTTCGCCGCATATTCAAGAAAACCCAAAAACATCGAACGACCCGGTTCGTTGAGCGGTTCAAGAAGGCGTAGTAGTAGCAGTTCGAAGACGGAGAATAAAGGGAAGTCGGCAATGGAAGAAAGTAGTAGTAGTGCGATTGCTGAGTCTGTTGGGTTTAATAAAAGAAGGGCTGAAGGTAAAGATAAGAATGATGGTCCCAGGAAAAATCTTCAACTCAAAGTTCGCAAACTCAACCCTGTTAATACTATTTCATACGTCCAGGTACTTAATTAATCCTGTTAACAAGTTTCCCTTTTTTATCTTGTTGTAAAAAAATCATTTTTATTGAAATGAATGGAAAAGGAAAGTAAGGCAAACAAATTGTAACCGAGGGAGTAGTACATGTTTGTTTCACTACTAGGTTTGATCCTGGTTTGTTATGTAGTTGAATGAAGATGATTTCCATGTTTGTTTTCGATGAAGTAATGATATATACTATTGCTGTCATTGAAGAAGATGGAGAAAAAATAAATACAAAATGGTAGAAATGAAAAAACTTTGTTAGTTGCATTGCATAAAAACACTATGCTAGTGTCAGGGAGCTAACTAAGTTCTAAAAGATTTATAGTTCCCATGTTTTTTTGGACACGAAGTTGGTACATGTAGTAATTGTGTAGGTCTAGCGAGTGGGTCGCAGGTGGGACATGGTGGATTGTTTAACTAAATTCAAAAAAAATATGTTTGTATGTTTTAAGGGAACAAATGGTATGGATAGAGTTATAAGGTATATTGGTGAGGAAAATGTTTAATTTGGAACTTTTTCTGAATCATTTCTAGTTTTAGTTGGGTTTAAAAGTTGATGACAGGTGTGTAGGTCCGGTAGGATAAGACAAGAGGATAGTGTTTTGACAACTATAAGTGTAGTTTGAAGCTAGTGATATGGAGTAGGAATGAGGACATTGATTAAAAAATGGCTTCTTTTTGATGGAAAGTATTTTTCTTCGAGAAAACGTTTTTTCACATTTTAACACCAAAATATGTTTTCTTCAAGTAAAACATTTTTAGCAGAGGGATTCCAATTCAATACTAAAACAATCAGTATAACACACTAACAGAATTCAGCGCGATGGTTATGTTAGTCCTAGAAAGTAACATAACATGAACTAGCAGCCCCAGTAAGGTCCTAGTCCTATTTATAACTTTTTTTTGGTATGTTTAAAGCAGATTTGACAATTTATTTTTGCATAAAGGGACTCTAAAGTTTCTATGATTTTGGTCAGATACTTGAATGTGCAAAGGTTTGTCTGGTTGGATTGAAATCTTATTTCTCAAGACATGCCTAAATTTATGATTATGTGAATCTAATAACTGATATTGTTCCTCTCTCACTTCCTTGCAAAGAAATTGAAAAGTCATTGACTTCTCTTCCTTTAAATTCTCACAGATCCTTGGGACTGGCATGGATACACAAGATACAACACCCTCAGTCCTTCTCTTCTTTGATAAACAGAGGTTTATTTTTAACGCTGGAGAAGTAAGTAAGTTATATTGTCGAATTCAAATCCAATGTGTATGGCACCTAGTTTCTCTACTGTTTCAGATGACACCGAAAGGATAACCTAATCTTATTTGGGTGTTGTATTGTTAGTCAAGATGTACATTTCATATTTTGGAACAGCCTCCCTACCCCACAAAGGTAGAGGTAAGGTCTGCGTATATCTTACCCTCCCCAAACCAACTTGTGGCCCTCGCCAGACCCAGCTTGTGGGATTACTGGGTACATTGTTATAATGACATTGAAATCTTAGGGCCCTTCTCTTATGGGAAGCAGAATACCAACTTGAACCTGAAAGAGGAGCTACCTATTAAGTTAATTTAATTTCTTGCAAGGGTTTCCTTGAATTTTTGTAATTCTATTATTCTCATGACTAAATTACTGTATAGATTAGATCCATAGGGACCAACTGGCTATTAGATTTTGTACAGGAACAGATGATAAGACCACATGCAGCAATTTTCAAGTTATGATGAATAGCAAGTCATACTTTTTGTTTGGTATTAAGAATGTTTTTGGTTATTGTATTTGACAAACTCCTAATGAGGAACTGTGCTTTTTAATGATGGGTTAATTGGTCATCTGCTTCCTGCATCACCATTATCCTAGTGGGTTTTCATTCCACAATGTTGTTCTGCAGATTGTTTCCCATTCATATGCATTTATTGCTCTCTTTTGGTTCTATTTCCTTTGTGAAGAAACAGAAAAAGTACACTTGGACTTATTTCTTTGTATCTAAATCCGTTCTTCTGCTTCAGGGATTGCAACGCTTCTGCACAGAGCATAAAATTAAGCTATCAAAGGTATGGAACTATGGATATGTATAATCCATTTGTTCGTAATCAGGTTTATACTTCCGAACTGTTCTTTCAAGTATGATGTTGATCTTATTGTGGAAGATGTATATACATTTTTTTTCTTCGTTCTTCTTTCCCAGATTGATCACATATTTCTGTCGCGAGTCTGTTCAGAAACTGCCGGTGGACTCCCAGGTCTGTTTCTATAGCTTTTCTTATTGAGTGACTAGATTAATCAATGTTGGAAAGATGCCAGTGCTGGCTTAACGATTGGCAGAGGTTGTTTAAGAACCACTGAATATGTGATATTCTTTTGCTTGCAGGTCTTTTATTGACTTTGGCTGGCATGGGAGAAGAAGGAATGTCTGTGAGTGTCAGATTAACCTGGTTTACTTGTAAAATATCAATCAGATAATTGGCTAATATAAATGATTATAAGGGCATCTCCAACCCTAATCTCTATTTTACTCTCCAAATATAGAGTTCTCTATTTTTTCAGGCAACCAACTCCAACCCAATTCTCTATTTTACTCTCTAAAAAAGAATCTTTTTCTCTCTCCTCAATATTATATTATTATTTCTATTTCATTATTATTTTCTTATTTCATGATACACATCCTTTATTTCCTTTTTTCCAAATAATCACTTTATATAATATTCATGTAAT